TGCCCTCTCCCCCCCCGGTGAGGACCATCATGGGCCTTACCAGTGAGGACCACCATGAGGCCTCGCACCCCTCGCAGTTTCCATCATCGGAACTGCGGGGGTCGAACCAAATCCCCACAAACCTGGCACCGTACGTGCAGTGCCAGGGGCGGCGGCCCGTCTTCCCATCTTACCATCATAGGAGGATGCGAAATCCCTGAAGACGGGACGGGGTGGGCACGAGCGGGCATCATAGCCGGCTCAGAATCAAAAGAGGCATCATAGCCTCATCAGTCTAGATTGATCCACTCGCGGATCCACTGCAAATTATTTCCATTGAATTCATTCCATGCGTAGCATGCTCACACCTCCCACCGGCTGGCCGAAGTTGGCAGCAAGTGTAGTCGCAGCTGCTCAGTGCCCTGGTCCGGTCGGTGACGAGCAGGCCCATGACACCTTGCCTGTCCACCTCCTACCTGATGGGCAAGTGCCACGTCCAGCAGCCCCACACGCTGCACGATTGGCTGGTGTCCAGCCAGCTTGGCCTAGCCGAATCCTGCGAGATCCTGCAAGAGACCCTGCAGGATCCTGCACCCAAGCCCGAGCTGGCGGACGAGTGGGTACATGGCTATCGCCCAGTTTGAGCCTGATGCAGGACAGCCCTGCGCCACTCCAGAGCCGATCGCGAACATGTCGTGGCGCGCGCCGTCGATCTTGATGTAGCTAGCTGGAGGGCGCGAAGAACATGGCTTGGACGTGGTTGAGGATGCCCTGCGGAAGGCTCAAGTGTTCCAGCGCGATGAAGAGCCAGCCCCGCCCCAAAGACGGGAAGGCCGCCGAGGAGTCAAAGCTGTCTCAGACGGGTTTGGATTCGGGAGCGTCTTGTAGCCATCCAGCACGGCGCATCTCGGCATCGAAGCGGACGCTGTGCTTGGTGCGTCCCTGAACGATGCCCTGCTGGGCGACGTGGGTGCGCTCTGCCACGGCGCCGATGATCATGAAGTTAGCGGCTCCTGCGATGGCTTTGGTGTCCGCGCTTGTCAGCGAGAGCGGGCGCGCGTCCTCGGGCGCCCTGTCAATTGCGAGCTCGCCCTGTGCATTATCGCCCTTCGGCGGTAAGGTGAAGTCGGAGTCGTTCAGATCGCGGACGTAGAACTGGCCCGCGCAGAAGAGGATGGAGGGGCCCTCGAGCATGTCGAGCGAGCCTTCGCGCGTGAGCCAGGCGGAGTACGGCAGGTAGTCTGGGCCAGGAGCCGAGGGGGATTTTCTGCGCAGGAAGGAGTGGATCTGTGGCTTGGCAGGCGCCCCGATGTCGAGGGGGTCGCCCGTCGGCACGCGCGCGCGGATGTAGTCGACAACCTCGGCAACGTCGGCGCGCTTCGCCTCGAAGACGGGTTGCCAGTGAGCGCGTAGGGCAGCGACGATGGAGCTACTCTCTCTGGCGGTCTGAGGCCCATCAGGGCCTGTGATCTCGACCCCCTGGGCGACGAGACGGCGTTTCCACGGGGCCCAAGGAAGGGCCCGACACTGGGGGGACCGCATGGTCGAACGTAGTTTCTCTGGGCGCAACGCTCCTTCTTGCCCCCGGGGGCGCTGAGCTGCCTGCTGGGCAAGGGAGAGAGTTGCCTGGCCTCGACGTCGCGGCGCAGCTGCGCGGCCTGAGTGGCGAAGTCACTGGGGTCGCGGAGCGTGGCAGTGCCATTGGCAATCGAGAGGTACCTGGCGCCCAGGGCGGCGGCGGCGGCGACGCGGCGAGCGAGTTGAAGATCTTGGCGCCAAGCGGCTTTGGAGATGGAGCGAGCGGTGAAGACGCCCCCCGCGAGGTAGCCCGACTTGTCGACGACGCCCGCGGGCTTCCGAACCTAGTCGTCACGAGCCAGCTGCGCGGCTTCAGTCATGAGCCTCTTGTGTGCGCGTGCGCCAGCGGCCATCGATGGAGACGCGGTCGGTCTTCGCGGCGTCGAGCAGCTGCTGGAAATAGACGGCTTACTTCGGGTCGCGGAAGATGGGCGGGTGGATGGCCTGCTCGATAAGCGGCATACGTGGCTTGATCCCAACGGAGAAAACGATGACCGCGCTGTCGCTGAGGCAGTCGTCCGAAAGCAGCGTCGCGTCGCATGCAACCTTCGCGTCGATGGCGGGTTCGCCCGTGGCGCCGGGGGGGGCTGATGAACATGCGGTCGATGGTGGAGGCGGTGTAGTCCGAGCGTTTGAAGCGCGTCGGGAGGTCGGTCTCGGCCTCAAGCGTTGGGTCGAAAAGGGGCCCTCCAGAAAGGCTGCTGCTGGCGCATGCTGTCGTCGAGGCCGAGGCGCGCATCCTGCGGCTGCGGCTGGAAGAAGCTCTGTGGCGAGCGGCTGGCTCCATTGAAATCCCCGGTCGCAATGAATGCGCGCATGCGGTAGTTCGCCTCCGCCCGCGTACGATTAGACCCCCATGCCTGCTGGATCTCGCGGCGTTCGTCGACGGTGATGTCGCGGTTGTGGACGCCCATGATGGCCATGGTGGCGCGCGCGACGGCGCGCGCGATCGCGGCCTGCTGGGCGCGACCAGGACCGAGTTCGTCGTGGCCAGAGAGTGGGGGCTGATGCGGCTGATGCTGTTCCAGCTCCATCGGCGAGAGCCACGGTGCGAGCGCGGCAACGCCGCCCGTGGAATTGTCGCCGTCGGCGCTGGGGAACGCCGAGGAAAAGACCTTGTAGGGGCACGGCCGCGCGTCGACCCAGGTGCGGAGCTGTGCTTCGGAGCCGCGGGCCCCCCTGGAGCGCGACCGCGCACCTGCGTTTCATGTAAGTTGCGAGGGCGGCTTGTTTGCCGCGGCGGCGTCTGCCCTTATAGCGCATGAGGGCCCGCGCGTTCCACGTGGCGACGGTGGTCGGCCTCGTGGCGGCGTCGCGCCGCCAAGGAACCAGCGGTGGTTGGGAACGCCGCGTGGCTGCCTCCGCGTCAGCTAAAAAGCGCTTGGAAGGAGGTTGGGATATTGCCGCGGTCGGTGGGCTGGCACTGCGGGTGGTCAGAGGCTTGCTCGTTCCACTGGGGGATGGAGGGGGCGGTCTGGCCTCGGATGAGGATCTCGACGACGTGCGCGAAGTTGCAATGGATCTCTCCCTTGGGGCGGAAGGCTCTCCACCGACGGTGAGGGTAGCGATGCTGCATGAGCTGAAGGAGCTTCTGGGTCTGGACTTCTGTTCTGATCTGGATTGATATAGATGTCAACTGGCTGGCCCGTGGCGCCGGTAGAGGCAAAGCGCTTCCATTGACCAGCTGCACTGCGCATGGCGCGCGAGAGTCATAGCTCGGGGTACTGAGACAGCGTTATCTCCATTGACTTGTAGTACGAAGCGTCGAACGGGGTCGCCACCTCCGAGTAGTTCCACACGATTTGGTTGCAAGTTGGCCTCAGCGAACCATTCCTGGAGGTCGTTGAGCAGAGCGTTCTGCGCGAAGGGCGCTGGCACCCCACGGTGAGGAGAGTGGGGTCAGGTTGGCGGTCCCACTCGGCGAAGCGGTTGAGGTCCGCGATCGGTGTCTGCGCTTCGGCGAGGGCCAGGGCGTCGCGCATCTGGTCGATATGTTGCCACATTCGCTGGCGTCACGTAGCTTGGCGGTCTTGTTTTCCGCGAGCGCGAGCGACTTCGCCCAGTAGTACATCACCTCGGCGTTCGGTGGCCGTTACTTGTTGCTGAACGAGATGGCGGAAACTTTCACGGGATTCGGCGGGAAACAGGTCGGCTCGCGCTTGAAAGCCGGCGGCGGAAGTAGCAACTTGGAGTTGCGTGAGTTCACGGAGAGCGACGCCCAGATTTTCGGGCATCCCAGGAAGTGGACCATGACGTTCGGACTGTGTAGGATGTGGTCCATGTTCAGATCCAGGGGTAACGTGACCAGCGAGGGACAACAGCAGGTTGAGATGCGAAGGCAGGAGCCACTTCGATGTCACGTGCGAATTGTTCGGCGGCTGCGGGGCCCAACCGTTGCTTGACAAATCGAGAGTTGGCCCGGGGGTCGGCGGCACCCGAAAGGGAATTATGGACAGCGGGACCAGGTGGTGGCGCAATGTCCTCTTCCATGGCCACGGCGGGTGCCTCGGGCGCAACTTTTCCTCCTGATCTGGCCGATTTGCGGGTAGGTGTAGGCGGTGGGCGTGCGGTGTTCCGACCTGCAGCTCGGGGTTGCCGCTGTTGCGGGGCCTTGAATGCCGAAGCCTGTGTGGCCTCGGTGTTCGAGGTGTTCGCGGGCAGCGCGTCGACCATCTCTGCGGGGTTCTTCACGTCGATGCTGGCGGTCCTCATTACGTCGGTCGTCTCGGCGAGGATCTTCGCGGCGCTGGCGGCGGTCATCAGGACGGCTGCGGGACGTGGAGTCGTTGGAGATGTCATCCTTGTCTGAGGATGCGGCGGACATGCTGTTGTAGTACAGGCAACAGGAATCAAGGCGCTGTTCAGCGCTTCGCCACTGGCCAGGTCCGTTTCGAAACCAGTGCGTACTTGAATGACTCTTGTTGACACACTCGGAGCAACGCACGATGAGGCGATATGGATGCACGGCGCAAAGCTCGACGCGGCGATATGGATGCTCGGCACGAGTATCGAATCGATACGGAGGTTCGGCACGAGGCTCAAAGGAATATTGATGGCGGCCTGCAACGCCAGAAAAATGAGCAGGAATGGGCGGCAGCTCTTCCCTGGATGTGGCTGCGAAACTGTTGGAACTGGCCGCGGACTGGCGGTATCCACGCTGCACTCGAGATGGCGTGCCATCTTGACCCAGGGGGGTCCAGGAGGAGGACGAGGCGGGTTCTGGGCGGGCTTCTGAGTGTCCAGGGGAGGAGGAGGAGGAGGAGGAGGAGGAGGAGGAGGAGGAGGAGGAGGAGGAGGGAGGAGGAGGAGGGGGAGGAGGAGGAGGGGGAGGAGGAGGAGTAGAAGGAGGAAGAGGAGGGGAGGAGGAGGAGGAGGAGGAGGAGGAGGAGGAGCTCGGAAGGCCCGAGGCCCTCCGAGCCCACTCCGCAGGCCACCCCCCCCTCCTCGCTTCTGCCCGAGAGGCTCGCCGCGGGCCCGGCGCGCCAGGCCTTGCCCTCCTCGCCGGCCTTCGCCTCGTGGCCCGCCTCGGGGCCGGCCGCCCCCCCCCGTTTGTCGACGACGACGACTCCTCCTGCATCCCCCCCCACTTGGGGTATATGACGGCTTGCCCCGCCCTGTGCTCTTCTGCGTGATACCCCGTTTCCCCCATCGCCTGCACTCTCCTGGGGTTCATTTCTGGACGGGCTGGTGGGGATACTTTTTTTGGTCAGCGGCTCCGCGCGGCGGCATGGCCTGCGGAGGTGCCGCGGCTAGGGGAACGTAGAAGGGCACAAACATACTATGGCAAAAAAACATGAGCCCACATGCATACAATACAAAACAGGGCGGCGCCGGAGGTCCCCTGGCGGCGCCTCGGGCGCGGCCCCTGACGCGCGTCAGGGAGGGGGGTCCAGCGCGACACGCGGCCATCGGTGCGGTCCAGGCGGGCACCCTCTCGCGCCGAAAATCTCGGGCGGGTGGTGGTCCCTGTCATCGCTCGGGCGCCCCTTCCACGTACACGTTTCGATGTCGTGCACGCTGTTTTTGCTTGTTCGCAAGATGGTCCTGGCCGAGGGAAAACAACACACACACACACGTCCGAGCGGTGTCAAGTAATGTAGGATTGCAGCAAAACGGCCCTCATGGGGCCCCTTAGGGTCCCTCTAGGGTGCTTTTCTTCACCCCCCCCTCAGGTCACATCACACTGCCGCCCGCCCGAGAATCTCGAGTCCCAAGGCACAACGCACCACACCGCTGGCCTGGCGCCCCGCTGCTTGGGTTTGGAAGGGGACCGCTGAACTTGAAGTCCTCCTATGGCGGTCCTTCAAGCGCTTCCCTCGCACCCACGCGCTTTTTGGGGGCCCCAGAGGCCCTTCGCTCCCGATGCAAAGTTCCTTATGGTAGTAGCTTACATGGACGAAGCAACAGCACGCTCGGCCCACTCCCGAGAGGATCGGAAGCTGGGCGAGTGCTGGCAAATCCGTGGCTGCTAAAACGGTCTTCCCGGAAGGAAGAAACAGCTTCCCAGAATAAGGTTCCAAAGGGGGTTTTTGGGGAGGGGGTTTTCCAGGAGGGGTCCCCAGGGGCTTCTCTCCCCCTGTTTTGACGAGGTTCCGGGGCCCCTTGGGAGCTCTCTGGAAAACCCCCTCCCCCCAAACCCCCTTTGGAACACTCCGGCACGAGATAAGAAACGGGCGGCGTCCTGGAAGAAAAAAACAAGGAGCTCTGCTTTAGCAGCCACGGGCTTGCCAGCCTTCGGCTGGCTTCTGAGAGGAGGGCGCTCCCGGCGCCCATGCGCTTTAGGGACCCCGGATTTGTCCTTCTCTCCCGATGCAGCGTGCCTCATGGTGGCAACTTGCTTGGGCGAGGCAGCGGCACGCTCGGCGCTCCTTCCGGAGAGGAGGCCGCGGCGCGACGAGGGGCAGAGAGCGATGCAGCGGCCAAGGCCAGGTTCCGAGCAAGCTGCTCCTCCTCCTCCTCCTCCTCCTCTTCCTCCTTCTACTCCTCCTCCTCCCCCTCCTCCTCCTCCTCCTCCTCCTCCTCCTCCTCCTGGACACTCAGAAGCCCGCCCAGAACCCGCCTCGTCCTCCTCCTGGACCCCCCTGGGTCCAACCCGACCCCTCCTCCTCATCCCGCTCCACCTGTGAACGCATCGACGTTGTTTGCAGAACACATTGCTCCGCATCAGCTGTTTCTGAATACGTTGGCGCGCAGATAAAAGATGGGCCGCAAAAAGACATATCGAAACACTGGTCCAACATAGTGCCATGACCCATTGAAAGCGAACCGTACCGACACAACGTGTGACCTTGACATCGTTGCGTACTTATCGAACCCGAGACTTTACGAGTGCTGGCGCCGAAAGGGTTGGTCTCCAAATACGGCGTTCAAAGGCGTTAGATGGGTTAAGCTCTAAGGCGGCTCAACAGGTCCACAAGATGGCCCCGAGAAGCCCTGGGAGTTCCCCGAGAGGCCCCGCAGCGACCCCTGATATTAACTCGGGCGTGTCCCCCCCATACAGGGGGATTTTGGATGAACAAATGAAACACGCTCAAATATACTCCCTGAATGGTCAAAAAATAGCCAGCAAATCGTCCCCAGACTATGTTGTATTCTTTCTGTAGAGGACCAGGCCCGACTTAACCCTACTAATGCCCAATGGGGACCCGACACTAGCCCGGGGGCAGCTCTTAGACGGCCCCGAGAGCTTGGGCAACACGCGGTCCACTTGCAATCTGGTGCTGACGCACGGCATTCCACAACACAGGCGTTTCAAGAGGGCACAGGGCGGCGTTGACTCGCCAGAGGCATCTTCGCTTTTTTTGTTGTTGTCCTATGTGTGTGCGTATATAGATATACATATGTATATGTATCTCTCTCTGTCCATACAGAGAGACATATATACTATCCTCCACCATGCCCCCTGGCACGTTGAGGCGTGGAAGACTGCCATGGGCTGTCTGGTCGAGTTATATGAACTCTAATCGGGGGCCGCCCCTCCCTCTACGTACTAGCACACAGCCGCATGCATCCCCCCCTTTCCCGATGCCACCTTCGCTCGTGCCCGCTCGAGGACGGCGCACTTCCAGCACGGCAGACCCCCAGTTCTGCGCGCACCCGCTCGAGGATGGTGCACTTCCCGCATGGCAGCAGATTGCCTGAACCGTCATTCGATGCGCGCCTGCTCGTGGATTGTGCACTCCTGGCACGGCTGCTAACTCCTAGACCTCGAGGATCGTGCAGCTCCCCCCTCGGCCTTGGAGTGATCGTCGCCTTCTGGCCCTTTCGAGCTGTCGACGGCTCGAGGCGGCCCGAGAGGCCTCCACGATGGCCCCAAGACAACTCAAGAGTCTCCTCGGATGGCCCGAGCTGGCCATCGCTCGGACGCCCATTCCCTGTGTTTTTTTTTTTCCGGTGTCGTGCGTGGTTTTTTCGCCAAAATGATCAAGGATGCTCCTCGATGGTCCTCGCGGAAGGACAAATACAAACGTCCGAGCGGTGCCAAGAGACAACTCAAGAGTCTCCTCAGATGGCCCGAGAGGACTCCACGATGGCCCAAGAAGCATCTAAGACAGCCCCAAAACGGCTTAAGAAGGCGAGGAGGAGGAGGAGGAGGAGGAGGGGGAGGAGGAGGAGGAGGAGGGGGAGGAGGAGGAGGAGTGGGAGGGGAGGAGGAGGATGAGGAGGAGGGGGAGGAGGGGGAGGAGGAGGAGGAGGAGGAGGAGGAGGAGGAAGACAAGGAGGAGGAGGAGGAGGAGGAGGAGGAGGAGGAGGAGGAGGAGGAGGACCCGCGACGGCCTGGAAAGGCCCAGCGATGGCCCAGGACGGCGCCCAGGGACGGCCCCGCGGCGGCTCCCAGGCATCGTGACGCCCACCGTGCGGCCAAGAGGGCCCCACGGCAGCCCACTGGCCATCGCTCGGACGTCCATGTCCTGTGTTTTTTTCGGTTTCGTGCGTGGTTTTTTCGCGAAATGATCAAGGATGCTCCTCGATGGTGCTCGCCGAAAGAAAAAATGCACACGCCCGAGCGATGCCAAGCCCAAGAGAGTCCTACGACGGCGTAAGAGAGCCCCACGACGGCCCAAGGAGAGCCCAGAGACTGCCTCGCAGGAGGCCACGGCAGCCCCAAGAGGACCCAACGGAATTCCATGAGCGCTCCGTCAAACAATGGAGACGGAAAGGTGCCACATGAAAAGACCTTCCTCTCCCTCCTGCTGCAGCTTCTCCTCCACCTGCCTCTCCTGCTCCTCCTCCTCATCATCAATAGCACCATCACTACCATCATCACCGCCATCATCACCATCAGCGTGGTCACGAACACCACCACCGCCATCATCAGCAGCATCGTCACCATCATCATCCACATCAGCATTGTGATAATCACTATCAACTGCCATGAACAGCGTCATCGTCATCGGCATCGTCATCGTCGTCGTCATCGCCATCGGCAGCATAACCATCAGCACCATTACCATCATCATCATCATCACTAACATCATCAACCCAACCAACACCATAGTCACCATCATCACTATTATCATCATCAGCATCATCATCATCAGCATCATCATCATCACCCTCACAAGCATCATACGCAGCATCAACATCAGCATTGTCATCATCACCACCATCATCATCATCATCGCCATCATCATCATGATCATTTGTGTCTTCACCATCACCATCATCATACTCAGCAATATCCTCACTACCACCACCATCATCAATACCATCGGCATCATCATAATGACCACCGCGTGATTAGAAGCATGATCATCCTCATCCCCAACTTCATCCTCCTCATCATCCTCCTCATCGTTCACTCCATCAACATCATCACCACCATCATCATCATCATCATCACCACCATCAGCGTCATCGCCGTCATAATCACCATCATCATCAACAACATCATCGTACTTAACCCCCACCATCCCCATAATCCTGATCACGGTTCTCTTAAGCCTGGAGGCACGAGGTGTCACACGTGACGGCCTCATGTGCCCCCTCGAGCAGTCGCCACCCAGAATGTCAAACTGGCACGGTGGCGAGACTTGCCGCAGGCAACTGGATACAGTTCGACGCATATCTATATATAGATAGATACCGATCTAGACGAGAAGTATGTGTATATGTATACCAATCCTATAGTTATTTCTGCCTCCTCTTTACGCCGGACCTCAGGTGATACCCCGTCATACTCATACGCTTGAGTACATGAGTGCACGAGTCTCAACCATCCATCAGCTTGCCTTCGGCACGCTGGGTCGTCTTATCATGACTATCAGCACCAGCATGGCGCATTTGACCTGGCTTTCTTACCAGCCTCTGGTGGCGACAATCCCCCCTCGGCACGAGGTGCTGGCAGATGTCCCTCTTAGAACGTGCCAACACCACCCAAAGAGAGCGCCAAGACCAGCCCTGAGGAGGCGTCGACCAGACGGCCGCCATTTCGTGTCGTGGCGGCCTCTACGCTGGTTCCTGGCACCGCGCGGATCGTTCAACATTGGTCGATGGCGGCTGTCTGATGATGCAAATCGATCGATGTCGGCCGATTCCAGGCCACTGGGGGCGCTCAACCTTGAACGACCGCGCCGGGGTCGCCGCCGAGTCGAGACGACACGAACCCATCGCACATACACAACAACAGACATCCAGATACTCCAGCATGTCCCGAAAAAGCCCCGAGAGGTCCCAAGACGCCTCAACCAACGGTCGCCCAACGATGCCAGAACCAAGGGAATGAAAACAAATTGAGCTGTGCACTGTGCAATGTTGTTTTCGAAGCGATTCGGCAACTCGGACCTCGTGGAACGATCCGACGTTCCAGCTATGGTCGACAAGTCGGGTTTCCTTGTTCGAGGAACTCAGTAGTCAATGCCTCTTGCTGGTATCCCTGGCCCGAAAAAGAGGGTCAACTAGTGGTCATTCAACCCTCTGCGCACATACTGGGTAGGTAGAGATGCTACGCAAGAGCGAAGCCAGAAAACGTTCCCTGGAAATCGAGCGATGTTGGTGAGGATGATGCCGATGAGAATGATGATGCCGAGGATGACGCCGAGGATCCTGTCGCTGGTATGCCAATGATGACGCCGATGCTGATGATGATGCTGCTGATGATGATGATGATGATGCTGAAATTGATGATGATGAGAATGATGATGATGAGAATGATGATGATGATGATGATGATGATGATGATGATGATGCTGATGATGATGATGATGGTGATGGAGATACTGATGATGGTTGTGGTGATGCTGATGATGATAAAGGTGGTGGTGATAATGCAGATGCTGATGCTGCTGTTGATGCTGAGGTTGATGTGTATGCTGCTGCTGATGCTTCTTCTGCTGCTGATGAAGATGCTGAGTATGCTTATGGTGATGATGAGGGTGAGGATGAGGATGAGGATGAGGATGGGGACGGGGATGATGATGATGCTGGCGATCCTGAGTGTCCTGATGATGACAGTGTTCATTCTGATTATGGTGCTGATGATGACGATGATGATGGTGGTGATGATGATGATGATGCTGATGATGATACTGATAAGTGGTGATGATGGTGATGCTGCTGCTTCTGCTGATAATGATGCTGCTGCTGATGCTGCTGCTGATGCTGATGCTGATGCTGATGCTGATGATGATGGTGATGATGATGATGATGCTGATGCTGATGATGATGATGATGATGATGATGATGATGATGATGATGATGATGATGATGGTGCCGTTTGTGATGCCCATGGTGATGTTGGTGATGGAAGCGAGAGCGGTGCTGATGCCGATGGATGCAGCCGATGGATGATGCCACGGGCGCGGCAGGGTGGAGAAGCGGCGCCGTGGCAGGGTCGCCCCTCTGATCCCACGGGCCAGGCGAGCACGCGGCGTGCGTGCGCCTGGCGTGAAAAAAGGCGAGGGAGGCCCCGATCCGGCGAGGCGAGGCGGACGAGGGCAGGGAGGGCGAGGACACGGGGCCAGGTCGAGGACGGGCGGGAGGAGGAGGAGGAGGAGGAGGCGGAGGAGGAGGAGGAGGAGCAGGGGGAGGAGGAGGAGGAGGAGGAGGAGGAGGAGGAGGAGGAGGAGGAGGAGGAGGAGGAGGAGGTGGAGGAGGAGCAAGCCGGGAGGAAAGCTGATAGAATCGGGCCGGCCGAAAAAGACTTGAGGGCCGGCCGACTGGGGGAGGGCCCGGCTGGGCGGGTGGTTGCTCCAGCTCCAGGCGCCAAACATGCTCGTCCTCATCCTCCTCTTCCTCCACCGCGGAGGCTGCATGACGTGCGCAGCCGATTCTGAGAGACCAGTGGCTGATCTCTCCGACTGAGAAGACCAGACAGTGGCATTAAACACAAACGCTCGGAGGTCGGCGCCGGACCCCCCCTCCCGAACTGCCTCCCCTTCCCTCGGCGATCTGCTGACCCGGGTCAATCCAAACCTGGGTCACTCGGTCTTTGCAGGGTCCTGCCGGAGCCTGCCATCTCCTTCAGTATCCTGTGCCCAACCCCGGGTTAGTGCGACCCTGGCTCTGCAGGACCGTGACCGGATCCGGCGCTCTGACTGACCCCCATTTGCATTGACCCCCGCCTCTTGAGCCCCGATTCCCCAGCGCTCGGAGCGCGCCGGGGGCGGCGTCAGACGCGCTGCTCAGGGGTGTGGGGTTAGGTCGGGCGTGTCCCTCTACAGGCGGATTTTGGGCGAAAATTAAAAAGTAGTCCAAACGACCCAAAAATGGCAAACAAATGCTCCCAAAATCGTCCCCAGACTATGTTTTGGGTATTGTTGAATCTTCCTCCTGTCGAGGACACGCCCGACTGAATTAACCCGAAACGCGAGCTCGGCATGCCAGCGCGGGTGGCGCCCCCCTTGCGGCTGGTATGGAACGCAGGGCGACTACCAACAACAATGCTGCGGAGATTGCTCTGCACGTTCTCTGCGTCCAGGTACGCACGGCCGTAGGCATCACGACCGCCTGTCGCGTCAAAGACACCAGGACCAGGGTACGTACGGCATCCGTGGTTCGTGCCGTTCAGACGCCCAAGCGTCTGTCGATTCCCTGCGGGCGAGTTCACAAGTCCTCACTGCCCAAAGCACTCGTCCTCGCACACGATGAGCTGGTGAATGAGCGGCATGAAGCCGATCGCCTTCGACGAGATCACAGCCTCCAAGGGCTTACACCTGTCGACCATGTCATCTGAGAACACGTTCTCATTCAAGTGCCGGTAGGCGTACAGGAAGTCGTTTATGCCAAGCTCGCGCTCGATGTACACCCGCAGGGCTTCCGCGCGGTAACAAAGCGAGTCCTTCTCCCCCACGTGCAGCTCCACGGGAACGCCATCGGGCCCACGGAAGCTGAGCGAAGGGCTCCCTGCTCCGGCCGACCCTGGCTCGGTCGCCGCCCTGGTCGCCTTCGTGCCCGCGCTGCTGCCGCTGCTTGCCGCGGCGCGCCCTGCGTCGCCAGCCAGGCACTCGGTGAGCGTGATGGACAGGAGCGCCCACTGTTCCTCACGAGCTGCGAAACAATCCCCAGACAGGCGGAAGTCCCGACCCTTTCCCTGGGGCCGGCTTCTCATCCCGAGTGGTTTTTGGACGGTCCCGAGGCCCGGCCAGGGCCCCCCGAGGCCGAAATTGGCCAAGAACCTCCAGTCCTGATTTTTTTCACGGCGCGATCATGCCTGGGTCCGTATCCGCGCCCACGCTGTCTGGATTCTGATTCTGATTCTGGTGCGCGATCCCGCGGAAAAGCGGCCGCACGTCGTTTTTTGACGGTCCCGAGGCCCGGCCAGGGCCCCCCGAGGCCGAAATTGGCCAAAAACCTCCCGTCCTGATTTTTTTCACGGCGCGATCATGCCCGGGTCCATCTCCGCGCCCACGCTGTCTGGGCGCGATCCCCGCGGACACGCGGCCGCACGGGCCCGCTCCGCGAGGGGCATCCGCGAAGCAGCGCCCCGTGCCCGCGGGGGGGCGGATATCCTCGGGCCAGGCCCGCGAGGCCGCGGATACGGATGTGTGATGGGCCGACTTCCCGCCACCACCACCATAGGTAGGAGGAGAAGGACGAGGAGGAGGAGGAGGAGGAGGAGGAGGAGGAGGAGGAGGAGGAGGAGGCCAACCTCCTCGTTCTCCCTTCTCCTCTGCCCTCACAGTGCAGTAGCGAATGGGAGGAACACTGGCCCATCAACGTGCGGATCCGCGGGATCCGCGGGCGGGGGCGGGAACCGCGGGCGGGCGGGGGCGGGGCTCCGCGGGACCCGCCCGCGCACTCCTGTGGATCCGCGGGCGGCGCGGGGGCGGCGGCCCCCCGCTCGGGCGCCGCGGCGCCTGCCTCGTCCCGCCTCCCCGCGCCGCCGCCGCCACGCCGGTCCTGGCCGGCCCGGGCCGGGGCGGGCTCGGCGGCGCCGCCGGCGCCCGGGGGCGGGAGCGCAGCGGCGCCAGCAGGCGGCCCCTCCTGCGGCCCCGCGGCGCGCAGGGGCTGCCGCCGCTTGCTCCAGAAGAAAAAAAGAGCGCCACGCACATGAACTACTGGGGAGGAGGAGGAGGAGGAGGAGGAGGAGGAGGAGGAGGAGGAGGAGGTGGCCGCTCCGCGCGGATTTCTTGGATATGATCTGCGCTGGGCCCCCCCCCCTGGCGCGCGGGGCGGCGCTGAAGGCCCCGCCAGGGGGCCCCCCAGCGCGGACCCAAGGAAGCCGGGCAGAGCGCCCAAGGTTTCTGTGCATGCCGTGTTTTCTTCTCCGTTGCTCGCGTCGCGTGCGCCGCTGGTCCCCGGGCCCCCTGCCCGCTCGCCCGAGGCACGGGCCTACCGGGGCTCAACCCAAACGGTGTTTTTTGTTTTCGTTTTGTTTGCGTTCTCCCTGGCTTTGTCTTCAATCCGCCTCTACCGCAGACCGAAGTCGAAACGAGAGCGGTCCACGAAATCGCCAAAACACCGTTGAGGTCCAGCCCTGGGCCTTCTGGGGCCGCTGCGGCGGATCCTCCTCGCGCTCTGCCGCGGCCCGTGGCCCCAGAGGGCGCGGGCGGGCGGTGGCAGCCACGCCGCCCGCAGGGACCTGCAGCTGGCCGTGCCCGAGCTGGTGCTGGTGCTGCGGGCTGGCGGACGAGGGCTCCAGCGGCCGCTCCCTCCTGTGAGGGGGCCCTGGGACACACACACATAAAGTAGACACAGACAACAGGATCCCCCACATCTTCCCACATGTTGTGGGTTTTCGTCTTCCCCCCCACTCCCCATGCTTTCCTACATATTTTCTGGGGGGTCGACGATTCATTGTGTCTCTGTGTGTTTTTTACCCTCCTGATCCTGGGGTGGTCACCCACCGTGTGGTCCGGCACCGTCGGCGGCGCGGCCTCGCTGAGCCCTGAAGCAGGCGCCGCCCGCTCCAGCTCCCGACACTGCGGGCCGCTCGGCGCGGTGGGGGCCTGCCCCGCCTCCGGGGAGCCTCGCGGCAGCTTCGCCGCCGCCGCGGGCCCCGGGGCCCACGAGGCCGCCTGCGGCAGCTTCGTCATCGCTGCATCCTCCGGCGTCTTGGGCTGGCCGACGACCGAGGCGGGTTGCTGCTCGATCTCCTGGAGCAGCTGATGGATCACGTGCCGGACCACTGGGCGCTGCAGCACCTGATTTATGGACGGGCGTGCGCAGGGGTCTTTGACGAGCATATCGGGGACCAGTTCTCGCACCTCGGCGCTGAAAATCAGCGGCACCTGAGGAGGGACGCCTCGCAATATCTTCATCACGAGGCCACGCATCGAGTCGGCGTCGAAGGCATGCTGCAAGGTGGCAAGCTCGTAAAGAACGCAGCCCAACGACCAAACATCAGACTTCTGATTGTATGGCTTCTCCTGGCAGATCTCAGGAGACAGATAGTAGGGAGTGCCAATCGCGGTCATGGCGCAATCACTCGTGTGCTGGAGCACGCGTGAGATGCCAAAGTCTCCGATTTTGGCCGTGCCATCCCCAGACCCAACCACGAAGATGTTCTGTGTTTTGAGGTCGCGGTGAAGTATCTTGCGGTCGTGCACGTGCTTGAGGGCAAGGGCTATTTGCGTGAACCAACGCATCACGAGAGACTCCTCAAAACACCGCCCGCAACTCTTGTGGTCGTGAATGAGCTGGTAGAGGTCGCCGCGCCCAGCGTACTCGGTGATGATGCAGAGAACTCCTTCCTCGACGAAGGACTCTTTGTAACCGATGATGAACGGGTGGCGAAGCTTCGACAACACCCGCACCTCTCGGGGGCGTCCAAGAGGGGGGTGTCCAAAAGGGGGGTGCAAATCATGGCCCAAGGCGCGTGCGCGGACCAGGGGGGGCCAGGAAACGTGTCGAAAACAAGAAGAGGGGCCACGAAACCTGGGGAGATGTCATCGCCTTAGCCATGATATCCGCCCCCCCCCTAGTCATCACCCCCCACTTGGCCGCTCCCGGACCTCGTTTGCGGCCTCTTCTCGCTGCCCAGCCGGCATCGTGGAGATGTCGATCTGCTTCATGACGCACCTCTCCTCCGGAGCGGAGCACGGGCAGGAGACGGGTGCGAGGAGGGGCGGGCCCCCGAGCGATGCTCGGAGGCACCCCCGAGAGGGCGGGAAGGCTGGCAAGAAACCCGCGTTCTGACCATGAACTTCGAGGCGAACCCGGTGGCGACGAGGTCCTCCCAGGAAGCCCGAACAGAAGTAGAGAACGAGGCACAGGTAGCGGTGCGACGAAGAAGCGGTGCGACGAGGAGGGAGGGGAGGCGGTTGCGCACGAGCGAGCCGCCCCTCGGGCACCCCCCCGCTGTCGACCCGCGCACCGCCGGCTCCTGGCGCTCGTCCTCGGCGAGCCAGCAGCAGCCGAAACTGCCCTTGCCTATCACGCGGAGGCGCCGGTACGTGCCAGCCATGCCACGCATGGCCAGCCACAACTGGGGGAGCTGTGGGCCTTTCCCCCCCTGGGGGACCCATCGATTTCGACACCCCTCTCGAGAGATCGTCGATGCGATGGGTTCCCCCAGGGGGGAAAGGACCACAGCTCCCCCAGTTATGGCTGGTCGGCCACGGGCGCGCCGGGGGCGGCGTGGGCCGCCGCGGGGTGCGAGGGGGCCGCGCGGAGCGGCGCGGTGCGCAGGCGAGCGCGCGCGCGGGCAGGGCGCGCCATGCAGCGGCCGGGGCGGCCAATTCCTGCGAAGCCCGAGCCAAAGAGGCCGTCGATGTCGGCCACCGCCGCCTGGCGGGTGCCGCGCCTCGCTCGCCCGCGGCAAATGTTATCGGAGAAAGGATGATTGCCGCGCCTTTCGGCGTCTTCCCCTGTGGGGCCCAAAGCCCCCCGTGCTCTCTCTTATTAGTTGTTGGTGTTTTGTTGTTGTTTGTATTCTCTCTCTCTCTCTCTCTCTGGTGGCGATGGTGGCCGAGGCCGTCCACGAGCGGCTCAACCACGCCACACCGACTGACCGAAACAAAAACCGACCGAGCGCACCATGCCCGAAAGTCGCCGGCCTGCAGCGGGCCAGGCCACGAGGCGCGCCAGAACCTCCAGTAGGAGTTTCAGAATGCTTCTAGCTCGCGCGCGCGTGGCGGCCCCTGGGGGTCTCCGGGCGAAAACTACGGGGGGGGCGTTGGATAAGGAAGCATTGGATAAGGAATCCAGAGTCTGGAAGCGGGTGGAACTCCAATCGTGGATTGGCCATGGATATCACCGCCGCCCTCATCACATAAGGAACCCTCCAGGGTCTGCAGCCTCCTGGGCGCATTCCTTAACGAAAGACCCCACCGTACCCCCAGCAGGGTCCCGGGAAGGTCCCGGCAAGGTCCAGGCCAGAGATGCCGGACCTCTGAGGAACGGCCTCAGGGGCCTCCCGAGCGACAATAGTGGGATCACCGCGGGGGTTGTTACGTGGAAAGGGGGGTCACAAGTGGATGCCACGGTGGGTTATGTCTGGCCCACTCTGGCTTACAAGTGGGCCACACATGCTCCAAAAAGCCAAGGGGGGGTAACGATCGGGGCTAAGTGGGCTCCGCCCACTTAGCGGAGTTATCTACCCCCCGGGGAACTTGTAACCCACTTATAAGCCAGGTTGGGCCAGATATAACCCACCTTAGCATCCACTTGTACCCCTCCTATCCACTTAGCAACCACGCGCCGATCCTAGTATGAAGCGCTAAAAGGGTGGCACGCCCCACGGCCTCAGGCCAAGAGCGATCCAAGATGGCCCACATTGGTCCCAAGACGGCCCAAGAAGCGCCCAAGAAGCTCCAGGAGGAGGGTTCCAAGAGGACTTCGAGATGCCCCGTAGACGCAACCTCAATGGATGTTGTGTTAAGGTTTTCGGGCGACTTTGGCAGTGCCGCCCTTTCGAGCTGCCGACCGCCCTGGACGGCCGCAGAGGCCCCAAGATGGCTCCAAGACGGCCCAAAAAGCTCCAAGATGGCCTCCAGACGGCCCAAGAGGCCTTCAAGACGGCCCCAGGATGGCTCCAAGAGGGGGCCCAGAGGGGGAACCCGAACAGGATTCGAGCTCTCGGCCCCAAGAAGCGCCCAGAAGCCCCCAGAGGCCCCCAAGAGGCCACCAGAGGCCCCCAATAAGTCCCCCAAAAAGCTCCCAAGACTCCCAACAGGCCCCCAGAGGCCCCCAAGAAGCCCCCAATAGACTCCCCAGAGACCTCAAAACTGCTCCCCAGAGGCTCCATCCGAAAAGACCCCAAAGAGCATTCATGAGGACTTTGACCCACAAACCGTGTGTGTCTCGAAACTCAGCTGGAGCTCTCTCGAGCCACCTTGGCACCCTCGGGCAGTCTATCGGCTCTCTTCGACAGTGTGCGAGCCACGACTCCAAAGATCTCCTAGAAAGCCGTCCTGCCTGTCCTACCGTTTTCTCTGGGCACGAGCACACCACCACGCAGCCACAATGATGCGAGATGGGCCAGCGGGGTGAGCAAAGCGATAACATAAATGTATGTCGGAACCCCATCCGACGCCAGAAACGTCAAAGTCCTGACTTGTTGTAACACCTGAGGGAGGGGGGGGGGGGGGGCACATGGCGCTGGTCGATCTCTTACTGCGGCGCGACACCATATGGCGTTTCACCTCCCTTTCAGCCGTACAGTTTGTAATAAAGCTGTCAACGCCACAGGGGTTCGAGCAGCCACGTGCCAAGATCGGGCCCTGAAGAAGAAATTCCGCATCACACAAAGCAAGTGCAATCTGCATAAAACTGATCCACTTTGTATATCCCCACATGCACGGCAAGTCGATCCGTGGCCAGATCTGTGATCAACATTAGCATGTTGCCCAGAGCTTTGACACCTGCTGGAAAAAAGCGAACATTGACGGCTGCAAGAGAAACGACGAAATAACAATGGAGACCGGGTAACAAAGCATGAAGTCTGAAGGTCAACAGCGTGGCACGCCTCGGCATCTACGCCCTTGGACTTATCGGCCTCCTTTTCGAACAGGAGCACTGCCTTATTGGACAACTCTTGATCGGATTTACCACTGATCTCGGCCTCGTCGGTCGTCTCAGCAGCGTCCGACTTGTCGGAGGTCTCGCCAACCCCGGCCTTGTCAGATTCTTCTGTCGTTTCGGCCGCGTCGGACGACTCCTCTGCCCCAGCCTCGCCGGTCGCCTCGGCAGCCTCCGACTTGTCGTCGGAGTCCTCGGCCTTGTCGGATGCTTCTGTCGTTTCGGCCGTCCCGGCCTCGTCGGTTGCCTTGGCAGCGTCCGACACGTCGGAGGCCTCCGCGGCCTCGGCCTTGCCGGACGCCTCTGCCTCGGCCGCGTCGGACGACTCCTCTGCCCTGGCCTCGCCGGCTGCCTCAGCAGTCTCCGCGGTGTCGGCGGCCGTGTCGGCTGTGCCCTGGTCGAATGCCCTGGCTGCCGCGGCAGACTCCTCTGCCTCGGCCTGGTCGGACGCCTTCGCGGACTCGGCCACGTCAGACGACTCCTCTGTCCCCGCCACGTCGGTTGTCTCCTTGTCTGATAAGTCACAGAAATACCCCTAACCCGTTGGGAGGAGACCTAAGTTAGGAGGGCCTATCACACTAGGGATAGGGAAACGAGCCATCTCATTTGGGATATTCCCCAAAGCCGAGAACCTAACTTAGGCCACGAATCCATTGTGCTATGATGGCTAGGGGTTGTGTTATGCTTGATGATTGTCTGCCTCAACCTGGTCAGATGCCGTCACCATCTCGGATGCTCCGGACGACTGCTCTGCCCCGGCCTCGTCGGTTGACTCCGCAGACTCCGCTTTGTCGGAGACCTGTTTTCGAGGGCAGAAAATCCACCCCGATAATCACCACCCCGACAAGCGAAGCGTGGGGCGTTTTAGTAAACGCCCAGGGCCGTTCAGTAAACTTCTGTTGTCCGGTCCGGGTGGTTTTTCCTCCCTTCATGTTTGGCATGGAGAAGCACGGGCCCCGAGGAAAACGGGTCCTGGACCCTGGGGTTCCCCCCCAAGGACCAGCTTTTCACCATATATGAGTCTTTCTCTGGCGGTCCTGGGGCCCGAGGACCATGAGTCTTTCTCTGGCGGTCCCGGGGCCCGAGGAGGGCCCCGTGAGCCCTGCGAACGGGGAGAGCCGCTTCCCTCAGGGCCCCTCCCCTTCCCCCGAGGAACAGCACGCGACGTATACACTCTGCCTTTCGGAGGTCCGCGCTGATCGCTTGGATCGGCTCGGAGACACTGGCAGTCTCCGACCCGCTGGCTGCCCCTTTATCGGGGAGACGTAAGACCCGGGTGCGGGGGACTCGGAAATCCCCGACGAGGTCGTCAAAAAATGACGAGGCCGAGCCTGCATTTTGACGAGGCCTCCCGCTGCAGACATCCCACAAAACTCCTCCTCGTCAAAATCCGAGGCGCGGTCGTCAAAAAACGATGGCGAACCCGAGTCCTGGCAAACCCAGGTCTTACGCTCCCCCGAAGGGAGAAGGGAACGCACCACCACCACCACCACCACCACCATCACCAACTGGAGGATGGAGGCAGAGGGTGGTCAGGGGTGGCGGTGGCGGTGGTGGTGTGTAGCGTTTCGGGCGCTCTCGCGGGACGTTGTGCACACCCGCATCTCGCACAGGTGGGTGGGAGGGGAGGGGAGGGAGGGAGGGAGAGAGGGAGGAGGAGGAGGAGGAGGAGGAGGAGGAGGAGGAGGAGGAGGACGGAAAGGAGGAGGAGGAGGAGGACGGAAAGGAGGAGGAGGAGGAGGAGGACGGAAAGGAGGAGGAGGAGGAGGAGTTTCCCCTGGATCCCCCCCGGGTGGTGGCGGTGTGCTTCCTGCGCCCAGCGTTCCTTCAGGGCCACCTCGCCGGCCTCGGCATCGGAGGCCTCGGCTCGCCGTGCCTGCGCCTCCTCGGAGGCCTCTCCGACCGCGGCGCCAGCCTCGCGGGGCGGGCGCGGGGGGCCGCCCGCTCTGGAGCGGGGCAGGGTGGGAGGGCACGGGCACTGCCCTCCCCATCCCTCCTCCTCCTCCTCCTCCTTCCTTTCCTCCTCCTCCTCCTCCTCCTCTTCCTCCCTCTCCTCCTCCTCCTCCTCCTCCTCCTCCTCCTCCTCCTCCTGCCCCTCCTCCTCCTCCCCATCCCTCCTCCTCGTGGCAGTCACCACTAGGTGGCGACATCCGAACCCTGCCCCCGCCGATCATCGATACTCCTGAACCTACGGGAGGTGCGGGTAGGGTTCGGACTTCGCCACGTGCTCGACGGATTCCGAGCCCTACCCCAGCCGCCCATCGAGTTGCCTGGATTATTGCTCTGCGAGGGTAGGTTTCGGATTTCGCCGCTCAAACATATCACCACCTCGTGCTTGCGTCGATCAACTGTGCCTCCTTGAGCGTAGGCTGCGGATCGTGCATGCGAGGGGGGACCCGACAAACAGCAAGACTCCTCCGAGATCGGAACAAGGCACACCAAACGGGACGACATGTAGAGAACACATTGGGGTGGTCGTGAAGACGTCTGGGCTACGCGCTCCACACAGCAACGACAAATCCCTCATGTGGCGCATCGGTATCGCGACCTGCACCGCGCACCTGTGCTCGGGGCATCACGTAAGCAGCACCCCTCAAGGTCTCGTCCTACGACGCCTGTCCTTCCCTCAAATGGTGTGCACGGGAGGTTCTGACCCACCACTGTTCCCCGTCCCTAGGAACAAAAACACGCTCGCGAATACAGATAGGAACTCCATGTCAATGGCTGGGGAAACCAAACGGTACCGATACCGCTACTCCCCAGACGTCTCCCAGGGTGCGTTCTGACCAGAATTTCGAGGCGAATCCAGCAGTGACGACGAGGGCCTCCGAGGAGGCCCTAACAAGGGAAAACGAGGAAAGTGTAGAGGTACCTGTACCTTTTCTTCCTTGGAATGGCCAGACGGCGAGACCACCAACGCAAAACACGAGGCTGCCCGCTGGCATCTGAGGCAACCCGAAGGCGGACCAGGCCTGCATTTAGGTCGGGCATGCTACCCAAGGCCTAGGTCGGGCATGTCCCCCTACAGGCGCATCTTGGAGGAAAGATTCAGGATTGTCAGAACATGTTCAAAAATGGTCAAAAAGAGTTGAGAACTCGTCCCCTGACCAGTTGTTGCCTTCTGTTTGGATATTCTCCCTGTGGAGGGACATACCCGGCTTAAAATTCAGAGGGCGCACCAGGCTCCCACGACTTGCTACACTCGACCAAGATAGTAAGGATGCGCGGCAAGGATGCAAGGGCCTTGGAACGCCATGTTGACGTTTCCCGTGCGGCGCGCAGCAGAATGCCGAAGGATGCCGAATACCGAAGGGGCAAGGATGCGAGGGTAGCCTTGGAAGTAGCGGAGGAGGAGGAGGAGGAGGAGGAGGAGGAGGAGGAGGAAGAGCGCAGGAGGATGAGGAGGAGGAGAAGGAGGCGGAGGAGGAGGAGGAGGAGGAGGATGAGGAGGAGGATGCGCAGGAGGAGGAGGAGGAGGGGAGGAGAGGCGGCGGAGGCGGAGGAGGAGGAGGCGCAGGAGGAGGGAGGAGGAGGAGGAGGAGGAGGAGGGGGAGGAGGAGGAGGAGGAGGAGGAAGGAGGAGTGCGGAGGAGGAGGAGGAGGAAAGGCAGAGGAAAGGCAGAGGAAAGGCGGAGGTGGAGGAGGAGGAGGCGGAGGAGGAGGAGCAGTCTCCCCCACGACTCAGCCAAGTTGAATCGCGCAATCGGATCGGATCGGAAACGGATCGCATCGACGGCGAGTCGTCCCCGAATCGAATCGAACTCGAAGCGCCGAGCCCGTCTCCAGCGGGCCCCGGCCGATGCCAGGGGAACTGCGCCGGAGCGGATCGAGGCGGAAACGCTCGGCCCCAGCCAGCACATCGCATCGCATCGAATCGGATTGCAGGCGGCTCTGTCTCCCAGCATGGATGGGGAGGCGTCTGACTGGTATTAGGCTGCGCGTGCCCTTCTACAAAAGGATCTTGGACAAAAAAATCGCAGAACATGCTCCAACGTGGCCCGGAATAGTCAACAAAACCCGTCCCCCGACCACTGTTTGACTGTTTTTGAATATGCCTCCTGTACAAGCTGCCTCCCCCAAGAAGCCCAAAACTCGCCAATGCTTCCATATCGCTTGCGCGTGAAAACAAGCGCTGCAACACAAGAGGTTCTCCCAAGCTTTAACAGATTCTCCAATCTTCGGTGTCCTTCACATCCATGATCTCGCAAGGGCCCGCAGAGGACCGCGCGAAGGCCCCAAATACCCCCCAAACACCGTGGTTCCCAGCAGAGACTGGTGACGCACAAGGCTCCACAAAGAACTATGACGCTGACAACTCTCGAACAAAACTTTTCAGAGAGTGCGCCAATCGGCAAGGTGGTCACCCAAAGAGGGCCAACACCTGGCCCCATAGAGGAATTCCAACAACCGCCGAACATCTCCAACCACCGCCGAAAATCTCCTCATCCTCGTCATGCTCCTCCTTTTCCCCCCCCCATCTTCCACTTCCCGCTTCCTCATCCTCAGCATCCTACTACTCCTGCCCCTCACCCCCCACCCCCCTCCACCTAATCATGATCCTCCTCCTCCTCCTCCTCCTCCTCCTCCTCCTCATCGTCATCATCATCATCATCATCATCATCATCATCATCATCATCATCATCATCATCCTACTCCGTCGCCTCCATTCCCAATCCTCAACATCATCATCACCGCTCGCCGTCGTCGCTGGTCATGACCGCCATCGTGACTTCCGGCAGCAACGGCAGCAATGGAAGCGCCCTGGATCGGCGGCACTGGCCGGAGGCCACTACAATAGGAAACAGTCGTCCCCACACGAACTTCTCGACGATTAACAAAGATTCCACTCCAGGGGGACACGCCCGACTTGTCCTCCTCCTCCTCCTCGTCCTCCTCCTCCTCCTTCTCCTCCTCCTCTTCCTCCTCCTCCTCCTACCCCTCCTCCTACTCCTCCTCCTCCTCCTCCTCCTCCTGCTACACCTCTTCCTCCCCTCCCCCTCCCCCCTCTCGCCAGCAGCGGAGAGGCAGAGGAGCTGCTCCAGTGGGTGGCGATTCGGGGCGACCGGAAGGCGAATTGGCCGTCGTACTTGAGGGGACCACATCCCAGAAATAATTTTTAGAGCAGCCGGAAAACTGTCGAAACAGGGTCGAACGAATGAATGTCTCCCACAGCCCGGCACGTGAAAACACCTTCAAGTTTCGGTACATCCTTGGTGCTCGAAATTCTTTCTGGCGGTCAAGCTAAAGTACACCCTGCGAAATGCTTAAGAAATCATGGGTTAAGAAATTCATAGTCTCAGAACTTGAATAAAAACCAAAAACATGTCTATTAAAACCTTAGGTTTTACATTGAAGCGTTAAGAATAATCGAGACTCTGGCCTGAAACTTGGGTTTTCTTAAGCATCGCCTAAGGTGTAGGTTGGAACATCATCAGGGACAGGGGGGCAGGGGCGGACGCGCGGAGGACTCGGGAGGCGGGATTTGTTCGGCTCTGGCCGGCGGGGCGCGGACGCCGAGCGCCCGCCGTGGGCAGAGAGGGGGGGCGGCTCCGTCTCCTATCGCTATCGCTATCGCTATCGGCTCGATGTCCTGTCGGACGCAGCCGTCCGCGCGGCCGGAGCTACGCGCGCGCGCCCAAAGCGCGTAGGGGGGGCCACCCCCCGACACAGACCCCCGCCAGGAGGACAAAGGGAAAGCCGCCTTGGCTTCGAAAGGGGAGGGGCGGGGGCCGAAAAGGACCGATAAAAAAGGGCCCAGGAGTTTCGGGGACGAAGAAAGAGGATGACATGATGGAGGATGAGGGAGAGGCCGCATGGGGGTGGCAAGATGGAGCGGGAGGAGGGGGCTCATTAAAGGCCTGATGAGGAAGGGAAACCACCCCCATGACGGCCTGCACGCAGGCGGCGGCAGGTCGGTCAGGCCTTAACCGTGTCCTCCCCCCCCTCGCCCTCGAGGGGGCGTCCCGGATGGGGTTGGCGGCCACCTTGTGCGCTACGGCCATCTTGCCGTGGTGGGCGTCTGTCTCGACCGTCATGGGCCATGTTACGGCCAGCTCGGGTCGTCGGATCAGCAGGCTGCAGTCCGACCTCATGCTGGGGCAGACTGCCCAAAATGGAGGTTACGAAATCGTCGAGGGGATTGCCGTATTCCTGGGAGAGGCCGTAGTAGATGGCGTAGAGGCTGCTGGTGTCGCCTACCATGGTCGGTCGTCTCATAGCGAGATTCTCCGTAGCGTAGAACATCAGCTCAGTACTCCACATCACTGACGGACCTGCTGGGGCTGCGGATTGCGCTAGTAGTGCTGGTACTTCGGCAGCGTGGGCAGCATGGAAGGTGTGGATGGCGAGGCGGGCGTGGTGGTTCGCGATCAGTCGACGTTCGGCTGCCTCACCTCCAAGGTTTACTCTGCCCCAAGGGTCCGTGGTTGTTCTGGAAGATGCTGCCTTTCTGTCGTGCGGGTCGCCATCGACTTGGTCGATCCAAGTGCTGGGTGAGAGGTTGATCATCACTCCCGCGAAGTCGCCTTGTCGAATGTGCTGGTGGATCGAGTCGAGGGCGTCGTACTGGGATGGGTGATCGACAGAGTAGATATCATCGAAGGTCATAGTAACCCGTTCCATCACCATTCCATTGTAGCATAGTCGTTGGTCCGTGATGTCGAGCAGATCGTTCGGGTGTCTATCGGTGTTGGTGAGGTAAAGCAGAGATCTGTTTCTGGTCGGTGTCCGAGGGTAGTAGGCTGGTGGTGGTGGTGTAAGCGCTGGTACAGTCGGGAAGAATGGCGGTGGTGAAGGTGATAGGTCAAGGGCGGGTAAGGGAGTGACGTCGGATGCATGGGCAGGAATAGGGTGGTATAGTTCGGGGCGGCCTCTGCGTTTGTTGTCGGCTATGCTGGCCGCGTAGATCGCCTGATTGGTGGCCACGTCCTCCTCCGTGAGGGCAGGTCCTTGTAAGTACCACATGTGCCATGACCGTCGGCAGCGGGCGACCGTGGTTAGATGCTTCACTAGCTTGGCGAAGGAGTGGAAGTTCTGGCGGCATATTCTGCACGATGTACCCGATGCCCAGTTTCGCGGATGATCAGGTCGTCGGTGTTCACGTCCGATATGTATTGCCATGCCCTGCTTGGTCTTGGTTACGATTCCACACTCGTAGCAGATGAAGTTGCTGGCGCCGTTGTCGCGTGATGGCGTGGTGCCCGCACCAATGGGGCCGTCGGGTCTGAACACCTTGGTCAGCTTGTCGGCGTGGGCGTGGTCTTTGGAGGCGCGGATGTAGTTTGTGACGGCCAGGTTGACGGAGTTGGTGAAGTGCTTCGGCGTGGTGCGAGCCCATGCAAAAACGTCGGGGTCGAGCTTGCTGGTCGTGGGCCAGCGCTGGTCGTCCAGGTATGTACGCAGGAAGTCGAAGTCCTGGAAAAGCATGTATGTCCATGAGCCCTTTCTCCGTCGCTGGTTGTCAAGCAGTTGGAGGAGCTGCTGAGGAGCGTGTCGTAGAAGCCGTGGTAAGTATCGCAGCCGTCCAGCAGACTGGTGGTGGTCGAAGTCGGGGATGCCGGTGTAAGCTACTACTTCGGTGGCCGTGAAATGATGAAGCTGCGAGTTAGCTTTGGGTAATCCAGCTGCCGTGCGATAGGGCTTCGAGTAGGCATTGGAGATGCGCTGGTGGTCAGTCTGGGTCAGTGTTGGCCAGACGTGATGGTTGAAGGTCAATGAGGCGGTCGAGAGGGCGTGCACGTACTTGATCTTCGTTTTGCGGGGTAGGCGTCGACGTCTTAGGATTTGCCTCTCAAGAGCTCGTGCCGAAGCGTCGGTTCGTCGCATGCGATTCTGCACCTCGGGGCCCATGCTGCCGTTGGTTAGGATGGTGCCTAAGAGTCGGTGCTGGTCTGTGATCTGGACCGAGATCGACATGATGCTCAGCTGGATTGATGTAATGTTCTGCTGTGCAAGCCTGCTGCGTGCGACGTTGGAGCCCGTCCCGTTAAAGGAGATGATGACCTTGGTCTTGTCTGGGTGTGGCTTGAGCCCGTAGGTGAAGGCTGTACGGCATAGACGTTCGGCTGAAGTTCTTGTAATGTCAATGATGTCGGAGTGGCGGGTGGTCGAGTTGAAGTCGGTGAGGTCGTCGACGAAGGACATGTTGGTCAGCTTGCCGCCTTGATGAGGGGCCGTAGAGAAGAGCGGGTTGTCGCAGGGGCGGATGTGGTGGCCGCTCTCACCGTCTTCTGCCCCTTCAGCGTCGTCGGCGATGGCCTGAAGCACTAGGGAGAAATGCATGTTGAAAGCCGCGTCGGAGTATGGCACCCCTGGCCTGGTACTGGTGCGAGGGATCACGTATGCGTCGGTGCCCTTGGCGGTCATCCAGTTGGCCGTGTGGTGGTCGGCAACGAGGGCGCAGAGGTGAGAGTCGTCGACGTGGGCGTTGAGATGTGCTGGACAGCGAAGTCGTTGTCGTAGGGAGGGGAGGAGGCATATGGGAATCTCGATGTTGTCGATGACGTCTTCGAGCTCGTCCTCCTGTGTCGGCAGCTGGAAAATGAACTCCCTTATTACCGAATGGAAGGCTTCTTTCAAGTCCAGGAAGAGGATGCTGCCCGTGCGAGCCTGCGTATGGCAGTCGTCCAAGAAGGTGTAGGCGGTGTGAGTGATGAAGTCAGTCGCCTTGTGAGGGACGGCGCCGCATTGTGTGTCCATGAGCAGGTCGGGTAAGATGTCGCGGAAGAGGCCTCTCAGGAACTTGCTGTTGATCTTGCCAATAGTGTTGTTCAGGAGGATGCCCCTGTAGGCTTTCTGCAGATGAAGCTGTCCTTGTCCTTTGGAGAAATGGGTGGAGAAACCGCCCTTCGCCGAAATAGGCTCCGTCGTCATCAGTTGCATCTTCATCATGATGGGGTGCAGAAGTCGGGCAATCTGGCGCGGCGCTGCTCGTGCCATGTCGTCGGTGTTCCCGTCGGGCCCGCCGCGTTTGCCTTTCTTGGCGGCTGCCAGGGCGGATGTCAGGTTGTGGATGGTCTGGACATTGTCGATGTGGGGTATCGGCTTTGTGTGCGCAGTCTTGTTGTTGTAGTACTTGACGACGCCTTCGATGTCGGTATTGATGCCGTTCTCGATGTTGCCGTAGTATCGAAGGGCGTGCTCCGCAATGGCTTGTGGCGTCGTGAGTGGAGCGCCGTGATCGTCTTGGCGTATTTTGGGAGTCGGAGTTCTCTTAGGTGTGCGGCCGCCGTATGTGAGTAAAGCCCTCACGTTTGTCCATTCCTGCCGCGGGGCGTTCCCTGCAGCTGATAATATCATGTTGTCGGAGAAGCGCTCGAGGTGGGCGTCGCGGTCGTGGTCGAGGCGGTTTCTAAGAACTCGGTCGGTATCTTGGATGAAGCTCATGTATGAGTCGAAAAGATTTGTAGTGAAGGTGGTTGTGCTGTAGGTGCTGTCGTGGTGTGGAGCCGTGGTATGGTCGGGGTCCGCGTGGTTGATGAAGAGGATGGTCTTGATCATCAGCTGAGTATATCCAGGGATGTCCATGAGGTGGATGACGTCGTCAGGGGACGCTGAAGCCGACTGGTTTGCGATGAGGTGCGCGGTGTATCGGATCCGTCTGCGTGATTTCTTGGAGCCAATGCCATTCCTTTTCACGATGCGGATCGTCTTGAGGAGGGTGCGTCGGAATCGAAGAAGCGCGTAGGAGGCCTCGGTAATGTAGGGCTTGCGGGGGGCATGATGCTTCTTCTTGAAGCTGGCGTAGGCTGCTTCCTTTATCTGATCGACGATGCTCTTAGTATGGTCGTTGAGGTTGGTCTCCCAGGGGGGGTGTTGGATCTGCTGCAGGCGTCGTTGAAAGTCGTTCTTGGCTGTCTCGGAGTCGAGCTTAGCGATGTCGAGCTTGGGCGTGCCGTGCTGGTATGCGGTCTCGACGGTGTAGGCGAGGTTAGCCTTGACAGGGAAGTGGTCGTTCTTGTGTGAGTGGTCGTGTTCTGTGTCGATACCGTACATTACGGACGTGTAGGAGATGGAGTCGAAGAGCTCGTGGCCAACCACTATGTAGTCCAGTCTGTGCACGTCCTTGCCTGAGTCCCATGTGTAGTGGTCCTGGCCTCCGCTTTTGAAGGTATTCGCGGCTATGAGAGAGTTACCTTGCAGGACCTTGTGGAAGCGTTCGCCGTTGTCGTCCTCCTTTTGCTTGAAGCCTTGATCGCCGATTGCCTGGCTGCATAAGCTGCCCGTTCGAGCGTTGGCGTCGATGAAGAAGATGTTGATATTGTGGTTAGAAGTTGCGCACTCGATCATCTCCCAGAAGATATCCTTCTCGTGTGGCTTGGCTCGTGAATGTGGTGCATGGGCGACGCAGACTGTATGTCGAAAGCCTGGGGCTTCGATCCTTACTACGAGATGCCGAGGGCTGTGCTCGATGACGGTGAACTGATCGGGGCGGAAGTAGAGGTCCTTGGCTCCTGCCTTTCCGTACGGCTTGCTGGTGAGTATGTGGAGCTCGCAGCCGAGGTTGTACTGATCGTGGCCCCCTGAGATGACGTGGTAGGCGTACGCACTCGTGCTGGTGATGTCGTTGCCGCTGCGAACTCCCCATGGCGTGCGGGCTTCCTGGATGCCGATCAGGTGGAGGTCCTCCATGTACAGGTTGAGCATAGTCTTTCTGAGCTTGTGGATCTTTTCTTTGCGTCGTCGAGCGCCGTGGCCAGGTTCGCGCCCTGACTGGATGTTGTAGGTGGCGATGTTGACGTCTATGTCGGTCGAGGTCTTCGTGGACTTGGCTGGTGTCGAAAGGTGGGCTGTCGTTGCCGTGGTATCGATGCGTTGGGCCTTGAGCATCCCAGGTGAAAAGGATGGGTAAGCGTCCTTGGTGTGGTTGTCGGCGTCAAGTAGGAATTCCCAGCTGCGCTGAGGGGACGCGTTGAGTATATTAGCCCATTCAGGTTGTGGGTGCGGGTAGTCCTCAATGCGGGCGTAGTTGGCCGCGGCGTCGGCAACTTCATTCCACGGGTTCATCTCGTGGGCGTGAACGTGACGCAGGTCGACATATTCCTTGACGTGCGAATACATGATCACCAGTAGCTGCACGAGGTGGGCGTCTCGGTTAGTAAAAGCCTCCATCCTGGCCAGTTGGATCGCTCCCAGCGAGTCGGAGTGGACCGAGATACTGTGGTTGATGTCCTTGTGGATAATGTATGCGAGCGCCCAGATGAGCGCTGTGATCTCGCTGGATGTCGAGGTGGTCTCGTTGTCCGTGAGGTTTTGGATCTCTACGAGGGTGGAGTCGCGGTGCTTGCCGACTATTGCACCTTGAAAAGAGAAACCTTCTTCGTCTTCTCCGACGAGTACAACTGACCATCCGTCTTGACCATGTTGGCGTGGGTGTTTGGAGCCGTCGGTGTATATATACAGGCGAGAATCTCGTGGGAGCTGTCGGTATGGAAATGTTCGCACCATGTAATCTGAAACCTCGTTGTGGCAACGGTCGGTAAAGTCGAAGGTAAGCCTGGGAGCCTGAAGTCGTCGAAGGTGCTGGAGTAAGGGCTCCTGTTCGTCGAAGTCGATGTGGTAGAGGATATTGTCGGTCTGCTGGTCGCGGGTATGAACCTCGCGGGAGAAACGAACATGCCGTACTGCCTCGTGGCTCTCCGCATTCGGCAGGTCGGTCTGTCCGTGTAGGATCTGGGTAGCGTCAAGGGAGTCAAAAATGGGAGGTTGTGGCCGGCAGGAAGTTGATGTACATGGCCGGCTCGGTGAGTCGCAAAATTGTCGGTGTCGATCGCCATCTTGGCCAAAATGGCTAGTGCGTCGATGCCTTGTTGGTGGCTCTGGTCGTTCTTGCCACAGACGGCCGCACCCCCCCCCCGTGTCGTACTCACAAAGCGATGCTTCCTCTCGAGGCGTAGGCGGTGGCGTCGTCATCGTCGGGAACGACCGTGACTGGGCTTCCGCTGGTGGAGGATGTGAGTCGACATGCTGCCGTCGAGGTTGGGTGGCGGTAGTTGGTCGGTCCGCTAGCGTATGTGGTTCTAGTGTGGGATCTGTGTGAGACAGCCTTCTCGCGCTCCCCAAGCGAGAGGTAGAGGCCGAGGGGATGGTCCACGGTCCACTACTAGGCTGTAGCATGTTGGGCGGTGTGTGGATTTCCCACATGTCGCCATGCTCGTAAAGATCTGGAGGTGCGCTCTCCCCAACGCGCATGCCGCTATTGGCTGATGAGAGGGTAGGTGAAACTTGTGAAGTGTCGTGTGGTGAATCGGAGCTCACCAGGGGCTCAAATAGTCGGCGCCTGACGTCGTCGGCGTAACCACTGCAGGAGTCGGAAGTGCCGTCGTTGCGCTGGCAGTCTTCTGGTATGATGCTGGGCCGTTCCCCCTGGGCCAGTTGCCCCCCAGGGGGTGAGGGCCCCGTTAGTTTTTTGGTGAGTTGACCGCAGGGGCTTCCTCGTCGTTGAGGAAGGTTGGCACTCGGTCTCCTGGGTCTGCGAAGCCGTCTCCGATGTCGCAGATACGGACTTTCTTGGGCTTGGCCGCTCGTCTAGATGATCCGTTTTTTCGGAGAGCGGTGCGGGGCGGAGGAGCAGAGGTGGCGCGGTCGGGCGTGGCGAGGTGGAAGCGGGGTGGTGGTTGGATTGGCTGCATCGGTGCGGTAGGAGATATGTCGGCTAGTGGAATGCGCACTGGGGTGGAAGGTGGTGGTGCGTCGTCGTCGGAAGTGATGTCAATGAGGAGAGTAGTGGATGGGTGGTTGTGCTGAGTTGAGTCTGTCCTTCTGGTACGTGGTGGTGGCGCTGAGCTGGGTCGGTCATTCTGCGGGTCGGGTGGGTGGAAGTCGATGGGCGTAGGTTGCTCGGTGGGGATCGGCGTATGCGAGGCGGGGGTGGGTAATGGCGTAGGGACAGGGAAGGGATATGCGTCGCTCGCAACAGGGGTTGGGCTGCAAAGGTCGTCGTCGTCGGCTGGGATTGGAGTGTGCACGCTGGCGTCGTCGGCGTCGTGGCATGGGCGTCGCGCAGTAGGAGTGGCGGTTGGCGTCGCAGGTGTCGGTCGTGGTGGTGGTGTGCTGCTGCGCTGTCCGTTGTTGCTGGGCTGTCCACCGCTGCTGCTGCCGCGGTTTCTGAGGTAGAGTTGATAGCCCGAGTCATCGGAGGTAGACGGTGGGGTCAGCAGTTCGAGTGCCGCTTGAATCTGTTTGTCGACTTGTGCTTGTTCGGCGTCTGCTTGGGCTTGCAGTCGCGCGTCTTCCTCGTCTCGTTCTTGGAGTTGCGTGTCGAGCTCCCTGAGGATGTCCACGTCGATGCTGGTGCCGAACTCGTGGGCTTGCTGTAGTTCGCAGTGCAGTCGCTCGCGCTCCTGTCTGTGTTGCTGAAGGTGCTCCTGTAGTTGGAGTTGGTGCTGCTCCTGGAGTTCGTTCTCGAAGCGCTGCATGTCACGGGAAGTGCCTCGAAGCCTGTCGATCTCGCTGTTGTACTCGCTCTGGGCCGTCAAAGTGCGGTACTTCTGAGCCTGGACCTGTCCGAACTCCTCCAAAAGTAGCTCCTTGGCATCCTGAAGCTGGTTCTGTTCAAGCCTCGCGATGTTGCTGATGTCCTGCTGAGCCTGAGCTTTCTCGGAGAGAAGACGTTGCTGTTGTTCGTGGCAGCGTTGTTGATATTGTTGGACCATGATCTCGGCGTTCTCGTGTAGCTGGTGTCGGAAGGTTTCTTCCTCTTGCTTCCTCTGGATGATGAAAGTGGCGAGGTGCGCTGACTCTTCCTCCTTGAGCTGGTCGCGCAGGTAGGCCTCCTTCTGCTGGTAGTGAGCCATGTTCTCCGTGATGGATTCGCGAGCCTCGTGTCGGAGCCGCTCCTCGCGCTGTCGGAAGACTTGGATCTCGTCGTAGTGCGACTGTCTCTGCTGGAATTGTGCTTGCTGAAATTGTTCCTGACAGTGTTGTAGATGTTGCGAAAGCTCCTGAATCTGCTCGGTCTGCAGTTGACGCTGTGCTTCGTGTTGATCGGATTCGGCACGTTCATGGTGGAGAAACGCCAGATGGTGTTGGTGTATCCCGTGGTTGCGCTGCTGCTCATCCACTCTCCTCGTCAGCACGTCAATGAGTTTCCGCAGGTCGCTGTCGTCGTTGGTAGTCGAAGCCGGCGCTGGCTCAGACACAGGTTGATGAGCTGGTGGTCGCTGTCGTCTCTCGGGGTGTGGTGTCTTGCCCCTGACACGGTGGCGCACGTCATCTTCACCGTCCCCGTCACAACTGTCTTCCGAGAGTTCAGCATGTCCTCGATGCTGTTTGGCCTCGGAGATGAGTGCCTTGAGGGATGCGATCTCGTACTTGATCTCGTCGTGCTCCTTATTGAGGTCGTGAATCTGGCTCTCGACGATCTGCTGTCTCTGGATCCGTGACTCCACTTGAGATCTATATTGAGCGATGCGAGCCATCGGCGTGTCCAGCAGGTGTAGCATGGTCTTGACTATGGCTAGCTCCTCGATCAGGCGGGTTGGGTCAACTTGAGCTTGCCTGGCTCCGAGGACTTGGTCGGCGAGACGTGCCATTCTCGCCACCTTGGTCGCGTGCCAGACCCGACGTATGTCTGGCTCGTCGGGAGGGAGAGAAAAACTTTCGTGTCCCTTGGCGTCCGAAAGCAGGGCGGGCATTACCTTATCAGTGACCTCCAACTGTCGTTTCGTCAGCTTTTGCAGATGTCGGTGGTCGTTGGTGGTGTCCTCGGGGGCCTGGCGGCGTCTTCTCGAGGGAGGCCGCTTCGTTCTCGGTGTGGTGTAGTCGTACTGGTACTGCTGCTGGTGCTGGGCGTAGTTGTGCTGCTGTCGGTCCTCGTCGTGGTGGGAGGTGTGGTGGTGCTGGTTGTGCTGGGGCTGGTACCGTGGCTGCTGCTGTCCTTGCCCTCCGTGGTGTCGGCGGTGAGAAGAGCCAGATGCTGGTGTGCTTGACCTCCATGGCCACGGCTTGGCACCCACTGGATGACCGTGAGACTTTGCGTTGGCTGCCATAGCGTTGGTCTCGAAGTCCTGCAGTTCGTTCTGCTGGGGGCGCTGGTGCTGCTGCGCGGAGTGGTGGCCGCTGAGGAGGTCGGCCGCCTTCACGACTCGAAGAAGAGCCCGTGCCGAGGCTCGGCGTTCTCTCTGCCGCCTGTGCCAGGCGGGCTCCTGGGTCGTCGGGCCTCTCCAGGGCGCGCCGAAGGCGCGCGGCAGCCGCCAGAGGCCAGGGCGCGGCAGCGGCGGCGGCGAATCGCCGATCCGCGGCGCGCTGAGCCCGGCCTCGCGATCGGCCTGCGAGGCGGGATCGATCGGGCGGCAGGCGCCGATCGAACCTGACCGATCGATCGGGTCGCAGGCCCAGATCGCCAGAGGCCAAATGGGCTTGGGGGGGCGGCTCCGTCTCCTCCTCCTCCTCCTCCTCCTCCTCCTCCGCCATTCCTATTCCTCCTCCTCCTCCTCCTCTTTTTCCTTTTCCTCCTCCTCCTCCTCTCCCGGCAGCCCTGAAGAAGGGCCAGCGCCGGCGTCTCTATGGGCGGCCACGCGCACGAACGGGGCGACCACGACTCTCCTAGGGGAATGAAGAATAACATAAACGCAAACACTCGGAGGTCCGCGCGGATTTCCCGTATCCGCGCTTGACCCCCCTGGCGGCGCCTCTGGCGCCGCCCCTGGCGCGCTCCGCGCGCCAGTGAGGGGGTCCAACGCAGATCTGAGAAATCCGCGCGGACCTCTGAGTTTTTATGTTTATGTCATTCTTCGTTCCCCTAGAGCGGGGCGCCCACGACACTTCGGCGCTGCCGAGGATGTGTCCCGGCAGCGTGGCGAGTGCTCGGCCGCTGCTGGGGCCTTTCACGGAGCACGTGGAGGAACTGTGAGGAACTCTGCTGAAGCGAGCCGTTCGATGGCCCCTCGCACGCATGCGAAGGAGGGGACTGGCCGATGCTGTCCTCCACCTCGTCCCAAAGGGTGTGACCCTGTCTCTCGGGCGCTGGGCACGATCCCACTCAACCAACGCCTCGGGTGAGCTGGTCCGATGGCGCTTCGAAGTGTGCGCGCAGCGGAAGCCGAGGCCAAAGCCGAAGCGTACAGAAAAGACGAGTGCTCGCCCTGCAGGTTCGGCTCACAGCACGTCGTTGCATGGTGAGACAAGGGGGAGGGCTTATGTTGCTCCCATCCTACTTAAGAACCGCATCCCACAAATAATTTCGAGCACCCGGAAAAGTATCGGAAGAGTGTCGGAAGAGTGTCGAAGCAGTGTCGGACGAGTGTCTTCCAGGGCCCGACACGTGAAAACCCTGCAGCTTCGGCATTCTCTGGCGCTCGAGATTCTTTCTGGTGATCAACGCTGAAGTAGGTTGGAACACCATAAGGCCGCCGCGCTCTCCTCTCTGTCGCGCTCCCTCCTCGCCTCGCCCAGCCTGCTCGGCACCACACGCTCTCTCGGGCATCGAGCCCGAAGCCCGGGCTCCGCACCTCGAGGCCGTGCTCCGGGACCCTCTGGGCAGAACCGGTGAGGGCCGCGGCGCCGTCGGGCCAGGACGCCGAGACTCGTCCCCGCCGTGCGGTGGGGTCGGAAGCCCGCCCGGGGTTCAGAGAGCAGAGGCGCACAATCGGGGATGGGCAGACCCCCTTTAGCAAAACGTGGTTTGGTGAAAACGGCCTGAGGCCCAAACCTGGCGGGCGCAAGCCTGGAAAACAACGGCCACGGCACCCTCTCGAAAACCGAAAACGGACAATTCACTAATCGACGTGTCACTGTTGGGGTTCTGTCCACCCCCGACACAAGGAAAAACAATTCATCCAGCAAAAACGGGGCCAGTGGAAACTGGGACAGCCTTCGATTGAACGCTGGACCACACGCTGCACCTGTCGCTCCGGATATCCTTTTCATACCTAAAATCGCCGGGTCGGCGACTGGGCCACGAGCGCGGTCCTGCAAGTCGCTCGAGGAACGCTCGGCAAACGACGATGAGCAGCAGAACTCTGACAACGACGAGTCGCACGGAGATTCGAGAGGTAGCTCCCAAACCCGGGTCGGCGGAGAGGTGGGAGGGGGTCGGAACCACGTTTGGCCGACTCCAGAACGCCTGGGTCTCCTGTGTTGGCGTCTCGCTGCCTTCCGCCGACTTTTCGCCTCAACTGGCGCACCCACCGGCATTTTTCTTCCGCTGTCTTCCGCCGAAATGTGCCGAACACGACGCCCTTTCTAGAAGCCCTGGGTGGCTCCTACACCTGGGCAAGCTCAGGGGGTATCAGAGGGCACTAGCTGACCCCCGCTGGCGCTGATCCCGTCGGCTCTCGGACCACGACTCGGTCCCCAGGCAGCTCTTCGGGACGATTCTGGCCTCTGGGAACGCTCTCGGCGATGCGCAGCCCCGAGATGAAACCCACACCAGGTTCCGAAATCCTCCGAACACAATCGAAAACCGTTCGAGAACGTGCAACCATCGTTACGGCTGAACCCGTTCCCCAGACTTGAGCAGGGACCGACCGTCCCGGCATTTCTATAGGCCTACCACGACATGTTCTTAGAATCCCAAAATGTCCTAAGAACAAAACCATGTTCTTAGAACACAAGCCCGGAGTGTTAACGCAAGACAGTCTCGGCCAGACATGTTCCAAGAACATTCCGTGGACACCACAAGAGGTTCTCAGAATATTGTTAGGTAGGCCTATGGGCACGCCAGGACGCTTCGCCACTGCTTTAGGGCGCAAACGAACCTACCTCGCTTTTGACCACCCTCGCTTCCAAGAGATACCGAGCGACGCCGAACTACGGCCTGCGCTGGTCAGGCCGCTTGACGAGGAGGCGCTAGGGATGACTTGGTCTTGCCTGGAAGCGAAGGCGGGGATAGGCAATCCACGCCCTGATGCTTGACAGACGCCAGACCACGCGGCCTCCTCAGACACCAGGACCCCTTCCCCAGAGCCGCTCCTTCGCCCCGACCGCCCAGGCACGGCCCCGGGCCCGACGAGGCGCCCCGGAGGCCGAGCACGGCCAGACAAAATTTGAGCAGGGACCGACCGTCCCGGCGGTCCTGTGGCCCCACCACGACATGTTCTTGAAACCCAGAAGTGCTCTAAGAACAGAAACGATGCCCTCAGAACATCAGACCCGATGTGATAAAACAAAACAGGCTCGGCCAGACATGTCCTAAGAACATGTCGTGGAAACCACAAGAGGTTCTTAGAACATGGTTTGGCAGGGCTACAGGGGAGCCATGACGCTTCGCCACTGCTTGAAAAATCCCTCCGTCGTGCTTTCTGCGGGGCGACGCGCTGGCTGTCAAGGGCACCTGGGCTCCCACCCCCAACGGAGGAAATGGGCACGATGCCCACCAGAATATGTCGCCCAAAACCAACATCGTCCACGGTCGGGCGGCCAACTCTTGCTCGAATGGACAACGTCCGCGGCGACGCCGACGGCGAATCTGGTTCAGAATAAACAAGCCATGCTTTCGATCTTCGTCCCCGTTCTTTTCGTTCCCACTTCGACCGCACCAACAAGGCCGGCTCAAAGGGCAGGCCCGCCTCACCCCTGGCCCCGTCGGACTTCTTGCCCTGCTCCCCCTCGGACACACCGGCCGCGGCGACGACCTGCCGGAGCGGCCCAGGGAACCGCCCGCGGAATCCGCGCAGAGGAGCTCGCGCGGAGAAGGCGGAGAAGAGAAGGAGGAGGCGGAGGAGGACCAGTGCAAATATCTGACACGTCAGCGATAACCGAATACCTTCGAAAATAAACACTAGGGGATAATAAAGTTCGGGGTTCAGGGGGAGATAATCAAAGTAGCCCACCAGACCTCAGCATAATCTCGAAGTAAGAGATGATCAAGAGGAGACCAAGCCGAGCACGTTTTGAGACATCCTTGGCGTTTAGTCTTCATAGAAATATCCTCAACAATGGCTTATCTCGCTGGAGACATCCTCGACAAATCCCTTGTTTCGCTTGAGACATCCACAAACTATTGCTTAGCTCGCTTGAGACACCGTCAAACTATTGCTTATTTCGCTTAAGAAACGTATCGTTTCGCTGGAGCCATCCTTCAGTATATGCTTGTTTCGCTTGAGACATCCTCGAGTATATGCTTGTTTCGCTTGAGACATCCTCGGAATAGCTCATCCGCCTCGGTGTCCCTGGATAATCAACCGCGGCGATAATAAAGTTCAGGCGGGCGGAGGAATGGAGAAAGCGATATACAAAAACAAAAATAGAAATAAACAATAAGAAATGAACAAGAAAAAGGAAAAACAATCAAAAAGAAAGGAAAACAGAGGAGGAGGAGAAAGAGAAGGAAACATCTCAAGTTCAAATGTATTAGATTTTTATTTACAAGCGCTTTATGAAATTTAGAATTTTTAAGTGCTCGTGTAGGGTAGCTCATGTGCTTCCTTTTCCATGGATAATCAACCCCAGGGATAAAAAAGTTCAGAGGGGGGGGCAT